TAAGGGTTTTCGGCATCTTGTGCTTACTTCCTTGCGTACGGATGACAGCTGCGTATGAATTAATTTATTTTCTGGTGCTTTCACTTCCAGAGACAGTTGTACCCAGCTTTTCATAGGCTACTCAATGAAAGCAGCAGAGGAGACTCCATTTACAGCAGCAGTAGTATTTACAGCATTAAGTATATTGGGCGTGCATGCAAGCGACTCACTGCTGTGACCTACATCTAGCGTACACAAGGGGCTCCATGGCAAAGCAGCACCAAAGGAGGCTGGCTCTATCGATCTGTTGCTTGTGCTGCTGCTGGTGCGCACCTTTGTACGCACAGAAGCCGTGTGTGTTAAGCCCTCGCTGTGTGCACCATGGCACGACTACGGGCTGCGGGGGGTACGTCCCCGGAAACCAAAACGCCTGAGCAACACACCAGCAGCGGCAGACAACACAGCTGCTGGTGCACACCTTTGTAGTAAGCACAGAAGCTGTGTGTGTTTACCTCTCGCTGTGTACTGTGACAGACAGAAGCTGTGCGTGTGAATCTCTCCCTGTGTGTACCATGGCACTGCTGCGTGACGGTACATGGAGGTGCTGCTCTAGACTAGTTACATGTTGGACGTTTGGATATGGGGAATCCAGACAACAGCAGTGCTGCACGACAGAAAAAAAAAAAAGTAAGCGGCGGGACAAAAAATATCGGCACACACAGAAGAGCAGCGCGACCGGCGTACATCCACCCAAGGCTAAAGGTTAATAGCAGTAGACTATTCCAATAGCTATCAAGGGAACCAAGATTTGTCGAACTCCGTCCACTGTAGGCTTCAAACTTGTCGGCGCAACCCACAGCCCGTGCCCGAAAAAAACGTGCCGATGGTATCTACGCGGCGCAACCACGCTGCTGTGCGCCAAAGACACCAAGCATGAGAACGCGCCCACCATTGCATCGATCGCCACAAAAATTTGATGGAAGACGGACTGAGCACCAGACAATAGATTGCATAAGAATTCAACTTAATTGGTGCAGAGGATCGAGAGGTAGGTACGAATGAAGTTGAAAACTGGCGTTCGCATACAGGCACCGTGCTTATGCCCTGACACGTTGCCGGCAACACCAAGCATCGATTATGCTAGCTGCTGATCTTGTAATTGTATAGCACTTAGAATTGTGCTGCAATACCAACTATAGGTGGAGTACTCTTGAATGGCGTTAGCTAGGTTTGGACTGAAATTGCTGTTGGTGGTGCCCCTCTGTTGTTGCACCGCACACGCTTGTGCCTGTTGGAGTCGGGACCCTCACCTAGCAGTGCACAACTCTCCTGATTCCCGAAGAAAAAAATGCAAGAATGGTCGAATAGCGACAGTAGCACGGCACCTNATGCAAGAATGGTCGAATAGTGACAGTAGCACGGCACCTACAGTAACAATGAGTTTGGCCACTGATAACGTCGTGCTTTGGGGTGTCGCATGCAGGCACGGCCGGCATATATATAT